TTGTATCTTTGTAAAAATTCAAGAATATCAAACATCTTTCTCCTCTTAAAAATCCCTTACGATTATCTACAAAGAAAGATGATTGACCATCAACACTCGAGTATTTGCGACTTCATTTCTATCGCGCGATAAATCACATCTCTGCTTTGTGCGATTTTGTAACGTTTGATTGATCACTTCAGCGCAAAATGAAGTATGTTTTTTAACGTATGCATGTAAGTTGCAGACGGTCGTTGGAAAAACACTTCTTTACAAATTTACGCAGATAAAATAATACGAGTATGACAACATAAGCAAATTCTCTAAATTAGATTGTATAGAAGGTAACATGTAGTACAAGCCAAGCAAGTGGCGCAACAAATTGCCGATCAATAGTGTGGTGCTTTAGAACACCCGCTGCGTCAACATGACAGATAACAGTTAACTTCAATTATTGACTTAAAAGAGTGGGAAAAACGCACAAAAGAGATACATATATATTTATGTCTATACTTAGGTGAACACATACAACTGCAGCCACAATGTTTATGTTCCTTTCGAACACTAGCTTGATTGATTAAGAAGATGACCTCAATTGAATGTGGCGGTCTACTTACCAAATACACGCCAATACAAATTAGAAACAACAACACATGCAGTAATAAGAAAGATATACTTTGCACAAAAATCCATTTATTAACTAACAAGCAAAAGCTTGTCGGGTAATTAAAAAATATTTGTGGTTATGTATACGTATATGTACTATATGTACATATTTGAGCGTATGTGTATCAGTTAATAATTGAAAGCAAAATTTTAATCAGCTTCAATAAACGCTCAGGAAATACCAGCATCGCACAGATGTGGCGAACAGATGCGGTAATAAAAGCAGGTCAGTGACGTGGGTAATATAAAAGTATATACGAATATACCTGTAGGAAATTTGTCTGATACTTTGCTGGGAATTTTACACACAGTTATCTTTTATTTATTTAAACATCATTCACTCCTCCAAAAACAATGTTTGGGTAATTATAAATCTCTGTTACCGAAGTCCCGAAATTTTCGGGATTAATATTAATTTTTATAATGGTCTGCAGAAAAAAACCATATGAATTTAGCGATATTATCGTATATAGTATAAATCTAGTAACTAGTAAATAACTTGATACCTTTAAATCAATATAGTTCGGGATTTTGAAGCAATAGCTTTCGAAAAAGTTAAAATAAGTAAAGAATGACAAATATAGTATGTAGGCAATATAACTGGGTTATTGAATTTACCTATTTTATAGAAAATATATTATAGTTACATTGATTTAAAATAATTTATATAAATTATCAAACTCTCCATATCGGGATCCCGAACCCCAAGTGACATAATTTCAGGATTTTCAAACAAAGGAAGTAAAAAGTTTTATGAACACGTATTTAAAAGCTTCAGAATGTGTTATTTAATAAATTAAAATATTTCGGGATTAGTGCCGAAAAATTTAAACTAAATATCTTAGTGAACATTCTATGTAAAATATTTAATATTATATTATATTTAAACATATTTTACATTAATTTAAATAAATTATTGAATAATGCATTTCGGGATCTCGATATCAAAGTGACATAATTTCGGAATTTTCGCACAAATGTAATAGAAAGGTTTATCAATATGTTTTTAAAAGCGCCAAAACGTTCCCATTTACTGAATTAATATCTATATTTCGGGATATAGCCGTCGAATTATGTAGTGTAATTGGATTAATTAATTTGCTTACTTTATATAAAATATATTAAATTCTAAAAACATATTTCACATTAATTTACAATTATCTTTAATAAATTATCAAATAATGCATATCGGGATCCCGAAATCCAAGTGTCGCAATTTCGGGATTTTTAAACATATACGCGTAATTGTAAAATCTGTAATTTCTACAGGCACTTAATAGTTCCAAGTATGTGCACATTTCTATGTTCAAGGTACTTTTTCCTACTGGGTAGTTATCAGGTTCGAATTATCGAATACGTAAATTGGCGTGCACATGATATTTCATTTTTTGCATTTAATTTCTTAAAGTAAATTGCTGCGCGCAACAATGAACTTGAACTATAAACTCAACGCACGATTACAAATAAGGAATCATTTCTCTTTCACAATTTTCTTTCAAGTCATGATCCAGAAATACCAAATTTTTCGAGTAGAGCTTCTTATATACAGTACTATATGTTTCTACCTACATACTTATGTATTCAATATATATGTATACGTATATGTAAGTGATTAGTGTTTGTTGTTGTACCAAACGCCATTGCAATGCGACCGATCATTAAGCGACAAATGTCAACGACAGCTGCTGACAGTTGGAGCAGGAAATTGACTGCTGAAAAATTGCGCAAATGTCTAGAGTGTGTGTGAGTGCTGGCGGTGGTGAGTCGCATGAGCTAAAAATTTTAAACAAATATGTGATATTTTATAAATATAATTTTTCATTGCAACAAACTTGCCATACAACAAAAAAGTTTAAAATAAATGTCATTCGCAATCAGCTGTTTTTCAAACGCACGCGCTCAACTAACAGTAAAAGCATCATTTATCAATGCGCCTGTCAGCTGGAAAGCCTCGAACATCAACAAAATCTGGTTTGCGCTGACTTTAAAATATCAAAGCAAAAAAATTCAAAATATTTGTTGTTATAACGGTGGGAAGAATATTCTGAAAAATAAAAAACAACATTATAACACTCTTTTTCTACTTGAAATGCAAGCAGAACCCATCTCTTCACCACACACTCACACGCGCAGTAATGACAAATTCGTGGCTTGTTTAGGATCTCTTGACGTTTAAGCTGTCAAACAAACGTCACGCGTTACAAACATATCCAAGTTTGGTATACTATGTGTGAGTTTAATTTTGTTTTTTGTTTTTACTGTTTTTTGATGCCGGCGAGTACAAAGTTTTTGACTTATCTTAATGCATTTTTTGGACAATTTTTCGTGGCTGAGTGACGTATGAAAATCACGACTTCAATAAAACGCCACACACAATTGGGAGGGGTTTTGTGGTGGAGTAAGTTTGTGGTAGGAAAATGTGCCCATCCGCTTATATACATATGTATATATGTATGTGTTTGAGTCCAACTCGTTTATTGCTTCTGCTGTCATTCACATGTTTAACGGCGCCCGCGCAACTTAATCGTAAAAACTTGTAGCTGAATGAAGCGCTTATTTATGTTCAGAGTAGCTGATTTTTCTGTTCGAAGCCCTTTTTAAAGCAACCATAAACATAAAATGTATGCGAAGTTTTCTCATAGCCAGTGAACTTTATTGCTCGTTAACTATCAAAGTGTTCTTTGAGCATATTGAAAGCATCAAAAGCAGTGAAATTAAGTAAGTGATTGTGCAGCAAATTTAAATAAGTGATAAATACGCATTAATTGTTCGGAAGTGTTGCGTGGATGGCAGGTTTATTGATTTTACATAATACCGAAAAGTACTTCTCGAAATTCAAGGTCATTTTGTAAGAGCAAAATAATTGTTTTTCTATGAAAAATTGGACTACAAATGTACCTTTGGCGCTGAAAACCTCTCAAACAATTATGTGGCATGTTTTATGCATCCTTCTTTTCATAGCTTGATCATAGAATCTTAAAACTCATTTATGGCTAAAAATAAATGCTTTAAAACTTTTACGACACGTAAATTTGTATACCTTCCTCATGAACTCGTAAAGGAAGTTGCTTTGTTGTCACCGCTGATCGCTTGGTAAACCGATGGGCCATAGAATGAATCACTCCGTCTGCCTAGTAATTGAAATACATTTGGCAACAAGCTAAACAAGCCATCTCCACTCTTCCCACATAGATCACTCACCATTGTTTTCACACTCCATTTTCGATGCGTTGTTTTTTTTTTGCGTTGACTCATTGACAATGCATTTTATTACCTTATACTCAATATTTTATATAAAACTATGAAGAACTAATAACAATCAACAATATTGATTATTACATCTGACAGGGTTTTTTTTTTTTTTTTTTTTTTTTTTTTTTTTTTTTTTTTTTTTTTTTTTTTTTTTTTTAATATAAAAATATAGATCATTCACTTTGCTAAGCAAATCACAGCCGCTAATGAAAATAAGTAAGTCGGTAAAATATGCCATAAATGCAGTTTTCGATCTTCCATCTTTGATATTTCACCAAAGAAAAACTATTCCAAAATATTTAGGATAAAGCGTCACTAGTGAAGTTGGCTGCGAAAAAAATTTAATAAGATCAGCAGTAGCCATCCAGTCCAAAAATTTAGTGAACGAGCCACTATATCCACAATAAGACTCAAACTGTTAAGATGGTGTTTGATTCAAGCTCACAGCTTTACTATCAAGTCTAAGAAACACTGAAAAATTGTAGTGATCAGCAAAAGTCTTCAAAATTATTATAATATAGAAGAGCGAGGTACCAATTTACAGTTTTCAAAATCAAACGCTACAATTGTGATATCACGCTTCTGCACTAGGTATATACATATATAGCACACCGATTATATTGTCTGACTTAAAGTTTTTGTGGAAAAAACTTCAATCTTTTGATATAGTTCCACATAGTCTTTCCTCTTAATAAAAAATATTGCAGCCAAGAGTGAAGTCTAAATTATTCCGCTTCTGGTCATCGACTTGGAGTGTATTACCGGGTTTTCAATATGCGGAGCCTCTACTAAAAAATCTTGAGTAGAAACAATAGTTTAACTGTTGGTAACATGAAAAAGAGATATTGATTGCCTTACAATAAAGAAAAGGTAAAGCTCGTCTGTCCTCCACGAAGATAAAAAGTAATTTTGATCGCTATTTGGACTATTCGATATTTTATAAAGCTTTAATCATTAATAATAAGTAATATAAAGAACCATATAAGACTAATTTTACCACAAATTTAAATTTTTATCTCTGAGCACCAAACTATTCTCCACCACTTTTAACTTACCACACTCAACTAACTATTCTCACTTTACTCTCATTTCTCCCCACACAGTATGACAACGTTAACTCGTGCCTGAATGTGCTGCGCACACAGGCGGTTTGTGGCTTGGATAACATAACCACCAATGACATTTGTGCCGGCCGTTTGAAGGCAGTCTTGGCGCTCTTTTTTGCGCTCAGCCGCTACAAACAACAATCAAAGCAACTGTCGACGAGCACAACACCAAATGCGAACGTTGTATTGGGCACAACAAATACGACGACCAACAATACAAACTCCGCTGCTACAACAAACAATACAGCGGCTACAGGCGCGACGACTGGCGCTAGTAATCAACAGCAGCAGCAAAACCAGCAGCAGCATCTGCAGAACGGCAATGGAACCATGTTGAATAGGTGAGTACTGTATTCACCACTTGTTTCAAATTAGATTCATTGAAGAGGTTCTTGTACGCGATAAGCGAACTGTTTTCACTATTTATTTTTATTGGGATTGCATTTTATATGAGAACAATAGCGTTCATAGTGGGAATAAGTTATCAAAATATTTGAAAAAGAATGTAAAATGGGAACGAACATGCAGAATATTGCGGGTTTGAGTCTTTGCTATTTGAATGTTGTCGCTAAATGGTTTTGGTTGTTAAATTTGCTGTTTGAGAACACCTACTGTATTGTAAATCTGGAGTTTCTTACTATAATTTATACGAGGTATTCTTCTCTTCGCAAAGATGATGACCAATGACCACCACAACTAGGGAAAGGTTTTCATCACTAAGAGCAAAGAGCTCCTTGCATCTCTTGCGATCGATCTTGGGCCAAAAGTATCTTTTGATTAATAGCAGGTCAAGCGTGCCTTTCCTTGACAGCTTCTCAGAATTGCAGTTACCTACGATTCCGCTATGGCTTGGTGCCAATATTAGTCATATTATAAAGCGACTCAATGCTATTTAGGAATTATGTAACCAGTAAGCTTTGAACGTAAATTGAGTGAACTTCCCGAGCTTTAGCTAGACAGGCGTCTACAAAAACTCTATCCTGTGCTTAATTTCTACTAACATACCAAGATATTCAACCAAAAATTGGTGTATGAAAAAGAAAAGCGGGCTCTTAGTCTATATAAGATGATCTAGAGCTGCAGTCTCGGAATATAGACGACTGCAGTAAAATTATGGTGGGGTCCTTTGTATACCGGATAGATGTCACTTTTAAAAGCGATAATTAAGCTATTGATTGCGAAGAATCTAGAAAAACACATACTTCGACTATCCCGAGTCTAAACTTTAAGGAACTATTCAAAGTAGTGCACATCCAAAGACTGGCACTTTAACTCAGCAAGTATCCACGGTTGTACATAGAATACTAGGGTGACCGACCGCCATTGAGGGTGCGACACAAGGTGATATGTTTTCATCCAGAATGCAGCAGAGCTCTTTTAAACAATTCAGAGTACATTTCTGGCGAGAGAAAGTTTTCAGAAGCTCTGAGGGCGAACTGCTATATATTAAAGCTACTACGAGCGCTCTAACTTATAAGAAATCATGAAAAGGCCAACTGAGTCAATTAAAAATTTTGTCAACTTATGTAAGTAAACTTTGTTTATCTTCAAAATCACTCAATAATAATTGCTCCCATTGAGCTGTCAGAGTTGGCAATTCATTTGATTGAACAGTTTGTTTGTTTAAACGTAAAAAAAGAACAACTGAAAGCCATTTGACAAAGTTTTATGAAATAAAAAATTGAATACATAAAAAAATCATTATTAAAATTTGAACGGAAATGAAGGAGAAAACGCCTTGTCGTATTGTCGTATATGTAAATACGAATATATGTATATGTTTGTATGTTTATGTATGCCACTAGATGCGTTTGTGTGCGTGCGATCGACTCCTGTCTGCCAGCAAAACAAATCTAATATGATTTATAGCATTGTTTGCTAGGAAATTACAGCGCATATCGATTCCCAGCGGATTTCCGTTTCTAGTACGTACATAAGCATGTATGTGTGTTGGTATATGTATATATACTTAGGTATGTACATATGTGTTAACGACAGCTTTTTATGCGCTCCACAAAAAACCGCCAGCAAACTCAATCAACTCCAATAAACTCCAATCTCAGACGTTAAACTTCGAAATGAAATTCCGAAGGAAAAAGTTAACCCAGCTGCAACAACAGCAATAAAAAAAACGTCTCCAACACAATTTTTTATTGGCGTTTCGCACAGCTACACTTTTTTTGGTTTGCTGCTTGTGAAGAGGGTACCGTTTTTGCATTTCTTTGAATGTATGTACATACCTACATCTACATTTGCATTGCTGTGCGCTCAAGTGCGTTTACTGCCCAACTGTGGAGCTACATCAAACTCTCAAAATATTAGAAAATTCAAAACATGCCGACCAATTTTCGATTCAGGTTTATTTGTGTTGCTCAAATGTACGCACCTTCACTAGCTCTGGCTAGCCACAACCACCTTCACCATCAACACCCCGACTCCACCTCATCGTCATAGCAACGCTCTGCTTTGATGCTGCTACTTTTCACTGTACAACGGTACGTTGGTGGGGAGCAGCTGCAGAGAACATGACTCGGCAAACAACCCCAAATGGCGCAAGTGGCGGGAAATCCCGTTAGACGGGAAACGGAAGCTGCTTTTCGGTATGCACTCGCATTTAAAGCTACTCCACCAACATTACAACAAACACAGCGTCAAATAAGCAGACGATACCGTTGGGTCTGATGAATGGGGGGTTGCTTGTTGTTGATGGCTTTGGCGACTCCCCAGCGTACTTTGGGGAGTCGCTGTTTGCGTTGTTTGCGCTTTGCATGAATGGAGGTCGTTAGCTGCAGAAGTTGTAAGCGAAAGCGTTTAACTTTCGGTTTTGTTTGCGCACGAGGGCGGAGGGCGTCGTATTGGGGCATTAGCCTTGTTTTATAGTACGACTTCCACTAACGCGGTGGTGGGGCGGTTGGTGTCATTTATTTTTGCATACTTCTCCGCAGCTATGTAGACACAGTCAAATAGTGTTGATGATGATGATGACTTTGCTTTGACTATGAAATTTAAATGCGAAACGGAAATACAATATGTATCAACAGGATTACAAGCAGTAGGGGTATGGGGTGACGTAGGCACACTGGAGTGGCGGTCGGCAGATGTATTGCCTGTAATGCAGGATTATACAAATAGTTCGAGTGGCAATAATAACCACTGATTTAAATTTTAGAATTGAAGTTGAAGAAGTATTCGAGCTTCTTTTTTAGGGGAGTAGAGTATTTTCTATAATTGAGATTGTGTAAAGTGTACGGAACTAAAGTAAAGTTTAAGCGCAAAATTCATTTACAACTTCGGTCATCATCTGCCATAGAAAAATATTTAAATTTTTTATTTTAAATATATAAGGAAAGATGCAATATTATGGAGACTTAAGCTGATTAATATAAACTTCTTCTAAGCTTATAAACAAATATATTTCTACATGCATCTTTGGCCTTAAGCCGTTTAGAGAAAATGAAAGTATAGTATACTGCTTGTATAGCTTAGGTTAGCGTAGTATAGAATTGAGGTATGCAGCGCGAGGGCTATAGTGCCCTCTGTCACAATGAATCATAGGCTCAACACACTGACAGATGCCAGTACATTTCTAAATGCTAAATCTCTATCCAAGAGTGGATCGCTGAGAACGCGGGTTCATTGTAATACCTAATTACTCCTGCGTATTGATTGAAAGATTAATAAGAGTCTACAAATCGCTTTGAGCATACCACCGAATTGTTGAGGCAGTCGAAAACAATGTGAGCTATTTTGCCAGGTGCGCTGAAGATATGATTGTCGAGATGTTTCAATATCGGTCTTGCAAAATTTAGACAATGAAGGAGAAAGTATCTGGATGTTTCCAACTCACTTTCTTCTATACAAATTTGACTCTTGATTTTCAAGTGTTGATGTTTCTACCACGTTTTATTCATAAAGTTTTTGCAGCTGGCGTCCAGAAATATTCTCCAACTTACAGCATGATCGACGTTACGAACAATGACCTGTTAGAACTCCCTCAAGCAAAGATCCAGTGAGGATCTCTTACGATAGAGCTTAGGTCAAAAGGATTATACGACAGCCCATGAACCGATGGTATTCCAGCGCAGGCCAAGCTCTCGGGAAGCCCAGCTATTCAGTAGCAAAACTGATGAGGAGAGGGAGGCACCAACCCCTTTCCATTCTACTAATAGCGAGAATATTGTACCATTCTTTGTCAGCTCATCAGCTTCATAGTTACCTGCGATTTTGCTACGATCGGGCATACATACCAGCGTTATCACAAAGTGACTCGATGTCTTTAATAACGAGGTTAGGCCTTGCTTAACTATCCTTAAATGCACGGTTAGTGAACTGAAGGCTAGTATCACCGCCCTACATCTTAAAAAGTTCATTCTTCCATTGTAAATTTTGTCTCTATCCGCTGCAAAGTCAAACATATGAAGATTTTCGAATGTGCCCACATTGCACTTACTAGGTCGCTGAATTTAATTACTTATTTTAACAAACATGGGTTCTTTTAAGAATATTTGCAATGTCTTCTGAAAAAGTTAATATATGGTAATTAACAAAAATTTTGAATCACAGGATTTTCATAACAGCCTTCATACACGAGTCACCCGGTTTTTTTTTTTTTTTTAAGAAGTAGAGGTGGCAATAGTGAGCTCCAAATGCAAGGAGATTAACTCTCCAAAAATTATAATTTTAATGTCCACTCCAAATGAGTTATTCTTGCCTAGTTAAAGGAGAATATAGGAAAGTTAGATAGTATTAATAGGTCAGAACTTATATATCAGAAACAAAATATAAATGGTATTCATTTCCACTAGTAAATATGAAGTATTAAAAACCCATACGTACTTCCATATATGTATGTTTCAGCTACATTTTCCTCACACATTCAAAAAAAAACCACATCTTGTCTACTATAACTTTCACTTTATTCAAAAACAAGACTCACACAAAATTCTATTCTAAAACTAAACATAAATGTCTCTTCAATTAAATTAGAGCAACAATGTTAATAGTCATGAAAATACAACTAAAACCCAAAACCACGAACAAACAACATAAAACTTTTGCATGTTTCTTCGAATACATTGTTTCCTTGTTTTCCGACTGCATATGCTCGTCCTTTCGCGCAACCAACTGACAAAATCTGTCTGTTTGCCCGCCACTTGTTTATAGCGTCTGCGGCTTGACTCCAACTGCAGTGGAAATCCCCAAACCATTGAACGCCAGCAGCCGACAACCGACCGTCAACCACCGGAGTCACTTTCAACCATCAACCTTGTCGGCGACATTGAAAACAAATACCCAACCGACAGACATCAACGGAACAAGTGGAGCAGACATGCTACATGCA